GGCGGAGAGACTCTCTTCTACATAGGCATAGCTCGGCCGTCGTAGAAAGTTGCAAGTTCGCTTAGTTTTGACAACATGGCAACTAAGATAAGACAGCGAACTAACAGATTCATCGAGCCAACGGTGCTGCATCAACCCACGAAGTCGCAACACATGCACTGGCTTGCGAAGATCGTCTTATATACCGCGGACCACCAATCTCTCATTCCTACACGCTAGAAGCCTTATGCCCTTAAGCCATTGGACTGTTCGCCATGACAATTTGATGGCTGACACACTCTCAATCCAACATGTCCGAACCCAGGTTTAGGGTTTAGGGTTTAGCCACATCAAACCCGACAAAACCTTAAACCTGCTTGCCCCAAGCCCAAAACTTGTTGGCCCTCCGTTTCGGGGGGGTCAGTTGTGGTTGCCTTGGTCCATGTCGGAGCCAAGGTTACAACGGTTTAAGGTCTAAGGTTTAGGCTTCAAGGTCTAGGGTTGACGGGAAAGGGTTCAGGGTGTAGGTTTAGAGTTTAAAGTCAAGCCCCAGGAAAACAGGATTGAATCGCTTAGGGCTTCAGGGTGTAGGAGATGTGGGTCTCCGCGTTGGCGGCGATGTGTTTAGAGGTAACAGTGATTCAGTGATTTGGGAGTTTCCGAAAACAGGGGGTTCCTTATTCGGGGTCCTCATAAGAAGGATCCTACTATTTAGGGTACTGGATCAGGGTCCCCTAATTTTCGGAAACTCCCATTTTAGTTTGGCCCAGGAGAGGGAGGGTTTACGTTGTTCGAAATTCTTTTCGATTTGGGGCTTCCAGCAGCATCTGCAACTCTGGCAATGCTACGCTCGGGGCTTGGGAGTGGGAGCTTGCACATCACGTGATTCTTCCCGCCAACCTCGAGCACTGTGACCCCAAACCAAAACACCTTCAACCTGAACCCGACAACCTAAACCCGACCCTTATAGTAACCCCTTGAAGGAACCCTGTGCCCTGAAAGGAGCCCTATTCTGACTGTTACGGTCCCTGTGTTAAGAACGTCAACCGAAAACCGTACACCCAAAAAACCGAAAACAGTGAAATAAACTTGGAGCTTAGTGCCAACAATAGGTTTTGCTTTAATGTTAAAAGTTTTAAGTACGGTCCCTAAAGCCAACGGGTTCTCTGGGTATCACCTCCAGAAACTCACATCCAGGCTGTGAGGGAATCTACAGTGCAGATGACATTAGGTAAACAAAATGCTTGCAGAACTCTTACACAACGATTAAGGAACAATTTGAAGCCCCCGAACCTCAAAGCTTAAAAACTCTAAACCCTAAACCCCTTACAAAAAACCTTTGGGAACTTGTGTACCGCGGAATTGTCGGTTCACTTCTTGTGGCTCCCTGTTACCGGCCGCATGTCACAGGATTTGGTGAACTTTGGGGTTTTGTGGGGATTTTGGGCTTAAAAGTTTAGGGTTTAGAGCGTAAGGTTTAAGAGTTTAGGGCTTAGAGCTTAGGGTTTAAGAGTTTAGGGTTTAGAGCTGAGGGTTTAAGGAAGTTTAGTGTGCAACGTTTTGCGTTTGCAACGACTTGGGCTGCAAAGCCCAATCTACAGCGCCAGGTGCCAAGGCATCCTAATGCCCTAATATGAAAATTCAACATGATTGGAAGAAACACCGAAGACTGTGGTCTTGTAGCTTAGGAGCCAGACAGAAACACGGAGACTGCAGTGGGTGTAGTGGACCCTAAACCCTAAACCGCACTTTAAAGGCTTCCCCTGTGCAGCTACAAATCGGCCTTGAAGTGGCCATGGCTATATGCTCCACACTATGCGAGCGGTTCATGCGAACCGGTTGCAGAATTCTGGCAGATCGCATCAAGGCAAGTGTTTGGGCATAGGGATTGAATGAAAAATCGACAACCCTCTGAAAATGCTGTGAGCACGCTTCATCCATGCACCACACCAAAAGTCTACATACCAAGCCCCCCAAACCGCGCTGAAGACCAGATAAGAGGAGGATCCTTTAGCAAGCCGGCTTCTAGAAGGGTCCATTTTGGAGTTTAGGGTTTAGGGTTTAGTAGGGTTTACCTGTAGCCGAAAAGACCTACCTTTTCAAGGAGCTATATAAAGAAACCATAATAAGGAACCCTAAAAAGGTAGGTCTTTTCGGCTACAGGTAGGGTTTGAGGGTTTAGGTTTTGGAGTTTGAGGGACTGTGGGTTTAGGGGTCCCTTCAAGCGTTCTAGGCGCGTCACGTTAAGGGTTCCATGAGAGTTTTGGTAAGGATTGTCGGAGGCTTCTATAAGGGTTGTACGAGGGTTGCATGAGGGTTCTAGAAGGGTTCTACGAAGGTATTGATTACAAGGCTTAAAGAGCGTTTATAGAAGTCTTACATGACATGGCTTTTACGAGGTAGGCTATAAACAGGCACCTAAGCAACCTGTTGAAAGCTACCCGACCCAGCTCTGCACGGGATCGATGCAGGCTCGATAAAGGCATGAGGGTTTAGGGTTTAGATGGGTTCGGGGTTTTGCGAAGTCCTGGAAGGGTCCGGTATGGGCTTCAGGATTCACCGGCTAGACCCTGAACACTGAACCCAGGAGTTGCGGTCTAGAGTTTCTATAACGAGTCCTTTTGCTGTCGAGTTTTATGTTTTCGGTGATGTCTTTGCGATTCGGCTCTTTGCGTTTGGTGTGTGGTGGCTGTTGTTTGGTTTAAAGTTATTCAGGGTTGTTGTGGGATTACAAAAAAGGGTTATCGAGTGCTTTGGGTCTTAGAGGTTCAGCTTCAGCAGACCTGTGGCTCCAAGGGCTCTCAAAAGGCTTTCTACAAAGCGATTTAGGCGATGGGATGTCTAGAAATACGATTCGTCAGGGTTCGCTAGTATGACTATGTTATTAACATAACCCGAAAGCCCTGTTCTAAGAACGTTACTAAGACACCACAAAAACAGTTTCAAGCTTTATCATTGAGAGTTTAAGGTTTAGGGTTTAGGATGTGTGGTCTCAATTTACCCTAGCATCATCGAGACAATAGGACCCTACCAAACAAGTATGTTCTGGTAGGTTGACGTAGGGCTTCAGGCTGCTCAGGTGGCTCCCCAAAACAAATGGCCGCACTCCGAACATGAGGGCCATCGTTTTTGCCGCCTCGCAGAGAGCCTAATGCATCTTGCAGCTTCACATCTCCGCACTCACTAAGTTCCTCGGTTTAGGACTTCGAAACCCTCTGAGGACGCGGTTTGCTCAAGGCATAGGGGAGCTTTACCCAGGCCCCGGCTGACACCGAAAGGGCAGCAACACGCAAGTTCCCCATCCTCGAAGGTGGCGAAATCTGACGATGCAAGGACGACTCCGCAAGACACTGCTTGCCAAAGGCAACCGGGGAATCCCAATACCGGATACGAGAGGGGCTTCGTGACTGAGTTGGCGGCCATAGGAGTTTGAAAGCCCCGGCATCATGGCCAGGAAACACAGTGCGGGCCCTTCAACTTCAATGCATGGACTCTGGGCATAGGTGAATGAGGACACTCTCAAAATTCCTCAATAGCGCAACTGGCTAGAAGTGCCGACGTGCCTCGGGAAGAAGGGAAATCCAACATTCAAACCCTACCACTTCACTGCAGCGGGGTGAAATCGCCAGCATGCCCTCATGTAAATCGGAGGCGAAGGTATCGGCTCACAACTCAAGGTGCCCAGCTCTCGTGCAATCCGCATCCCGGTCGATGGGTCAGAGGCCGTAGGGGACGGCGAACCGCGAACCCTGACCGACCGTTCGTCCTCTTCGGCATGTTCTGGCTAGCGGCCGTAGACCGGCTCCGCCTCTGCAGTCTGAGATGCGAATTGCAGGTCTTCCTCGCACCCGGCACGAAGCTGACAATGATAAGGGCCGCCAGCAGCAAAAGGCGTCAACCAACGGAGGCTGAGCATCCTCATCAGGTTCTGCATGCTCGGGCCGACTGCCTCACGGCCAGGTCTCAGGAGGTGGAGGTCGCTGGACCGCCTGAACCGACCGACACCGGGTATGGGCCCTCTCGGATGCCTGGCACGGGGAGTCGCAATTTTTTGCTAGAACAAAACGCTTACACCGATATACGCATCCGCAGGACACTGCAGGTGATCCCAAGGCCAAGATACCCGCGCCACCAAGTGCCGAAACGGAGAACAGCACCGGTGTGATCAGCCAAGCGCACGGGACGTAGTGACTTGGAGAGAGCCTTACTTGTACGGGAGGACTTGGGTCTGCCTGGACAGAGCTGTGGTGATGAGGCTTCAGCCCCCTCGGAAACTGGACTGCACATTGTGCAGCCTGGGCCGTTGAGACTTATCCGCTGAAGGTGCACTTTCTGAACTCATTACGATCCGATCCGCTGTCCGGAGTCGCAGTGTCTGCCTTGCGCAAGAACAGCAAACTGAGCATTATGGGGCTCAAAGCTGCTCCATTTGGGCCCCTGGTGCCCTTGCAGTACCCCCTGTGAGTTGTGAGGTTCATCAGGGCGGTAGGCATGAAGGAAGCTGACATATACGTCACTTCGGGGCACGGTTAGGGTTTAGGGTCTTTTAGGGTTCACTTTGGGGCTTCTAGGAGCGCAGGCACGGTGAGCAGCGGCACCTCTTAAGACGCTCTCATGTGGGAGAGCCGCCTTCGGCTGGGCGAGTCTCTTCATGCTGCGAAACTGACTAGTCGGGTCCAGAACCAGAAATTTCTGCCGCAGCTGCAGGGTCCCCAACGGCACAGCTGTGAATGCGGCAGTGGCTGCGGACGTTTGGCTGTTGCACGCCGCAGCTGCCTCCTGCACAGCAAGCAGCTTCGCTGAAACGCCCTATCTCTGCTTTGTCAGCACCAGTGCCCTGGAGCCCTGTTCAGACTCCGATTCCGCCTCAACCGACTTTAGGAGTGGACCAAGTGCAGCTGATGATTCAGATGCTGAACAACCAGAACAGCACAGCAACAGTAGAATCCGATGACTTTCTGATGCAAGGACGAAGAAGAAGCCAGTGAAAAGCCGACGAAGCTCCCATCACGATGCAGCCGTCAGTAACGAGCCCAATCGGCTTTGCGGGATGTTTTTAAGTGGTGTCTCGCATCAGGGTCCATATTAGGGGCCCATACTTCCAACCTTGGAGTTGGCTCGATCTGGCTGGCGAAGCCGAAGGCCGAATGCGGAGGGTCGGCGACGAAGTGCTCGCCGCACATCACGTAGTGGAGCACATAATCGTTGAACTGCATGCACTCTCTTCCTCCTCGTTGGTAGAGGCATATGCCGGCTTGACGCTGTGCGTCGAATGCGTCTTCGAATGTGATCGTGCCGGATCGCCAGAGGCTGGCGGCGGAGCGGCAGTGAAACCAGCCGAGGCATTCGTACGTCCATCCCATGCATGCTAAACAAACCCGAAGCTACTCTAGTAGGGGACCCTTACCGGAACCCTTAAAGGAACCCTTGCTGGGCCTTCTGCTCCCCGGCTTCCGGGACTCCAATGCTCTGCCCTCTAGCAAGGCACAGGTCTCGAATCTACACAGTTTGGTTTACGGGTTAAGGGCTTACGAAAAAGCTGGGAGATTTTCCGCCACATTCTCACTTCTAGGCAGACAAGCTTTGGCTGACTTCTGAACCCCTCCCAAAAAGCTAAACTTTTAGCCTCCTTATTATAGTTCATATAGAAACCCAAAAAATTAAAGCCCGAACAGCCAACCAAAAGAACTCCAAGAATCTTGCATCATGCCAATGCCGCCGTTAGGCCGGAAAGGCTTTTGGAAGTTGACGTGTGCTTGTCCAGCAGCTTTTGCAGGGGAGCTGCTGCGATAGACAAGTGCTACGGCCACAGGACGTAGCCTAAACGGAATATACACAAGGAACCTTGGGGAACGAAAACATGAATCGACGACTTTGATCCAGGCAGGGCTCGTAAGATGCAGACGAAGGTCCATACTGCAGACATGCTGGACATCACGTGTGGGCTGCGCAGAAAAGTGTCCCTGCCAAAGGGCCGAACTCCTGCAGGAATCAGCTGCGACGTGAAATGGTGCAAACACGACCCTCCCCAATTTTTGTTCCGAAAGACTCGCGGGCTAAACGGCAAGCTGCCTCCCAAAAGCTCCCGCGAGTCAAAAGCCAAGGAGAGCTTCACGGTCTAGGCAGTCATGGGCAAATGCAGAGACAGCCCTTTCGACACGGAGCAGACAGTCAAATACATACCACGAGGACTGCATGCATGCAATCGTCCATGCTGCAGTCCGGCTGGAGAGGTGGTGAGCAGCTTTTGCAGTGGAAACGCTGCAGTAGACCGGTGCCGCTGGCAACGCGTCCAGCTTCGCATGCACTCAGCCTACTACGATCCAGCCACGGGTGCAGCAATGACGCTTGTGCAGCTCCTGCTTTCACCGAATTTGCGAAGCCGCCTGCGGCGGAACTCCACATAACTCCACACGCAGAAAAGCACTGTATACCTGCCCCTTCAAAGGTACAGATCCTCCTGGAAACGACCCCCAGATGCATGCGGAGGCTGCTGCGGCGATGAGAGAGCTATGACTATGACGGACGCACAGCAGACTGCAAAGGAGCACTTCATTGTCAGGGCACATGTGCCGCGCAGCCGTGCACCGTCCTGCCTAAGCGCATTAAAATGACCAAAAAAATGCCTAACTTCTGCAAGAGTCTTCAGCTTTATACGCTGGCCACGCGCTGCGTTGTTAGGACCCGAAAGATGGTGAGCTATGCCTGCGAAGGGCGAAGTCAGGGGAAACTCTGATGGAGGCTCGTAGCAGTACTGACGTGCAAATCGTTCGTCATACGTGGGTATGGGGGCGAAAGGCTAATCGAACCATCTACGACTTTGAGGGGTCACACCTTGCAGGCCCGCTCTGACCTGTTTCCAATCTTGCATCCACTCATTGGCCAATACTGCAGGACTGCTGCTACATTTGGGAGGAGCTTCCTTGAGTCTGTAAATTTTGCAATATATGTAGAAGGTCTCGATATGAATGTCTACTGCTGTAAGCTTTTGCTACCCTGCACATGCTGGAGCGGCCTCCCAGGCCGCCCCTTCTCATCGCCACTTCATGTCTGACTGACATCCATACAGATTGAATCTGACACAAGGTCAGTTTGAAGAGACAAGGGAAGAGACATCGAGTCAACGACTATTCCGAAGCTGCGCTCCCTGCAGTGAGGAAGCAAGCGCTCGCGGTCCACACCTTGGAATCCGGAAAGCTCCCGAACCCTTGAAAATGGCCCAAAATGCTGGACAATGAAACCGTACACCCCCTGGCGAAAATTATCAGGTTCCATGGCACGGGTGCCAGCCACTACAGTATCTCGTCCTTGAAACGAGCACAGGTCATGGCTGTCGCGGTCTCGATATGAATGTCAACTGCTGTAAGCTTTTGCTACCCTGCACATGCTGGAGCGGCCTCCCAGGCCGCCCCTTCTCATCGCCACGTCATGTCTGACTGACATCCATACAGATTGAATCTGACACAAGGTCAGTTTGAAGAGACAAGGGAAGAGACATCGAGTCAACGACTATTCCGAAGCTGCGCTCCCTGCAGTGAGGAAGCAAGCGCTCGCGGTCCACACCTTGGAATCCGGAAAGCTCCCGAACCCTTGAAAATGGCCCAAAATGCTGGACAATGAAACCGTACACCCCCTGGCGAACATTATCAGGTTCCATGGCACGGGTGCCAGCCACTACAGTACCTCGTTCTTGAAGCGAGCACAGGTCATGGCCGTCGCGGCCGAGAAGAAAATCGTGCCAGACGGTGTGATTTGAATCTAGGCTTGGGGTTCAAGCCCTTTTTGGGTCCCCATTCTACGGCACCTATTATTTAGGGTACCCCAAAAGGGACCATAATTTTGACAACTACCCCAATCCCCAAATTAAGCGGAAGCACATGGGAACCGGGACCGAGGCTCAGAGTAGATCTGCGCCGTCGAAGCCGGTGACATGGAGCTGCCGGTCTCAACGGAAGGCTCCCTTGCGAAGGGCCCTTAACTTATGGAATGGAAGAATGGTAGTAATAGTAGTTATAATGGTACCCCATTCCTCCATTCCCTACTAACCAACGGCAAGTTAACATCCCGGCAGCCCTACACCCCCGGGCGAAAATTCCCGGGTGCTGTAGCGCAGAAGCCAGCCTTTACTGAAAAGATCTCGGCCATGAAGCCGGTGCAGGCCATTGCCGTCACGGCCGAGACAAATGCCATGTCGAGATGAGACTGATTCAGGGTGCGTGGCTTAGGGCTTTGGGCTGTCGCGAGGCTTCTTGCATCCCGTGAGTAAGAGTTCTACTTGCCAGGTGCAGGATCAAGCACTCACTCGTCGAACTGCTGGGTGCAGCACAGCCATGTAAACACCATAAACCCTGGATTCGTAGATGGATTCCGGTAGACTGGAAGATACAATCCCAGCCCTGGCCCGGCAACACATGCAGCTTTTTTAAATACTTAGCAACTAGGGACATAATTAAGGTAACTGTACTTATAACCACTTCTAACCCCACTTAGGGTGTAGGACCGGGATTCCCGAGGAATGTCCGATCGCGGCATTGGCGTGGTCCAAACAACAAAGTGGGACTCAGCCAGCTGTTTGTCATCTCCGCCCCAAGCGCGGCGCAGGCACAGAGCCCGCAAACTCAAGGCCTGCGCAACTCTTTCTTGTATCCTCTGCATCCTAGATTCTCAGAGATTTCTAGATCGTGAAGCCCGGACCATCCCCACTGGTATGCCGAACCACTGCGGCGCTTTCTGCTTGAAGGCCGATTGGAGGCGGAGAGGCCAGAGCCTAGTGCAGAGAGACGTATCAGCGACGTCTAGCACGCTCGGAAGGAAATCCTCAACTGTTTCAGATATTCAGTACCCCAATTGGTAGGATCCTTATTGTAAGGACCCCCAGAATACGGTACCCCTAATTTGCGACATGGACAAGGCGGCATAACCACGGAACCCGACACATCCCCCGGAAGCCACCACAGCTTCCAAAGCAGGTGCGCCCAGCCTCCGGCAGAAAATGGACGTCTCTTGATTAAGGATCTCACTCTTGAGGGTCGATAGCGGGTTCCGAAGTTTGACGCCGTGCTACTCGCACAGAAAACTGCGGTTTGGTCGGAACAGCGACGAAGCTGCCCAAAAGACGGCCGTGTAGGACTTTAGAGAGCTAATCTGCGGAATCTGCGGCGGAAAGGGTCGGACATGCGGGCTTCAAGACTTAAAATGATCAGGGCCTGCTGCCACCCATCGGGTCCGACCACCCACGGTGCAGGATGTTGGGTTCAACTCAGGCAAAGAGACGCAAACTGGGATTTTTCATGCAGTTTCATGCCGGAGCACTTTCGCAACCCCTTGCCGCTCATCCTTGGACGGCATAAGCAGAGTGTCGGCGGCATGGGACGCATCAATGACAAGGGTTCAGGGTGGTGTCAGAGTCTCCTTGCTCTGTTGAGAGTATCTGAATAGCGGAAACGCCCCAGTCTGGCCGCCAAGTAAACTTTACGGAGGACGACATACCGGAATTTGCGAGCCTGCACTGGGCTGCGACCGTGCCTTGCACACTGCAGCCACTGCCGCTGCATCTCTGGTGTACACGCTGCTATATCATTCGCGATTGCCTGGTAAAGACCACCGAGGCAAGTGAGATATTGTTCATGTCACACAAGCAGGACCGCGCTCTGGATGCATTAATCAGGGGGCAGTACCGTCCCGTCTCAGAACTGCACCCTCTTCTCTGAAGAGAAGCTCGGGCGAACTCTCAGACTGTAAATACTGTCACAACCTGTTCAGTGCGACATGAAGCGGTCGGGCAGCGTCGCGTCATGGGTTCAGCTATGAAGTGACACGCATGGTCAGTGAGGCCTCTGCAGATCCCAGAAGCTGCTGGGAGAGAATGGACCCCATCATCTCAAGCTGTGTCTTGGAGCCTGCAGTCAGGGTTCAAGGTCCGGGATTTAGGGTTAAAGCTTTCAAGAGCTTGCTGCGACTATACTCTAGTGTTGTGTGGCGTCAGAGACCGATTTCTGCAACCTTGGTAGGTGGAATATCAACTTCAACTCGTTGGCATGCTAACACGGAGACCTATAGCATGAGCAAGTCTGGCATCACGAGGCTCTTGCCTCACTATGTCAATGTCTCTTCAGGGCTGCTGCGCGCAGGTTCTGGCCAGACTGCTCTCTCGTGGAGCGATTACAGCTTCCAATAATCAACACTACTACGCCTGAGGCTCCCCAAAAAGCTGGCAGCTTCAATTCAATGATGCCTCTTTCCCACTAGCATGTTCTTTGTGGTTTTGGGGCTCGGTGCTCAACATTCACGGATTACGTCATGGCTTGATTATTGTGTTGGGTGCGGTGTGCTGCTGTGCTAATTGAGGTGCTGCTTGCGGCTGGCAGGTGTCGAGAATTTTGTATGGACCCAAGGCCATCAAAAGCTTACGGAACAGTTCAACAGAAGAATCCATCATGAGCACGACTCGCGCCTGCAACTTTGACCTGTGTTGCATATCGTCCCTAAACCCTGAACCCCTAAACCTTAAAGCCTAAACACCTAAACCCCGAACCCCTAAACCCTAAACCCTGAACCCTAGACCCCTAAACCCCCAATCCCTAAACCCAAACACGCTTTACAAGGTTTGAAACTTACAGATCCGAGCAAGAACCTGAGAACGCCCAAACACAAGCTTGGTGAAGCCAAAAGACCCAGACATAGCAGCTCTCTCGCTTTGCACATGGCGGAGAGACTCTCTTCTACATAGTCACAGCTCGACCGTCGTAGATAGTTGCAAGTTCGCTTAATTTCGACAACATGGCAACTAAGATAAGACAGCGAACTAACAGATTCATCGAGCCAACGGTGCTGCATCAACCCACGAAGTTGCAACACATGCACTGGCTTGCGAAGATCGTCTTGTATACCACGCCCACCAATCTGTCATTCCTACACGCTAGAAGCCTTATGCCCTTAAGCCATTGGACTGTTCGCCATGACAATTTGATGGCTGACACACTCTGAATCCAACATATCCGAACCCAGGCTTAGGGTTTAGGGTTTCGGTCTTAGGGTTCAAGGTTTAGGCCATCAAATTTTGCAAACAACTCCGTCCTGAAGATGGCTCTTTTCATCCTGCTGTTACAGAGCATGTTTCGACGTCCCAGCGGCGAAAACGTGGCGCGGCCTGGGCTCTTTCTCGGGGTTGCGGGTTTGGATCTTTTGTGTGCAGGTTTTAGGGGTTGGTGATGGGAGGCCAAAAGGGGGGTTTAAGATTCTTGGGCTAGGGATTCCTTAATATCCCCTTCTTGCCTCCTATGATTTGGGTTTCGGGGAAGCACTGAAGCCCGAAAACCAGTGTAAGAACCCACATGGCATCCCTCCCAGAAACCTTCAAGGAATCCGTGAAGGAGCCCTTGAAGGACCCCAGGAGCCGACACAAGATCTCACGGGTTTAGGGTTTAGGGTTTAGGGTTTAGGGTCCCTACTCCGCAAGGCCCGAAGAATAAATCCTCCCTTTCAAACTAGACCAACTGTAAACGACAAGAATGAAAACCCAACAAATCAGTTCGCTCTGCCATTGAACTTCTGATGTACACCGATCGCGGTGGTGGTGATGGTGTAGCCGATGACGGTCACATCGGTGAAGGTGATGGGAACGGTGGCGTTGATGTACATGGGGGGTGGTGGCGATGCGGTGATTGTGATGATAGACAATGCTAGATGAGATCCATCTTGTCACTTCTCGTACCTATCATCATCGACAGCTGATGTCCGAGTGCGCCGACAGCATCCCGCTGGACATGTGGCCCCAAGACACCAGCACCACGGGTGGCCTGAAAGCAGGGCATTGTACGAAGAGGCTCGAACTGTTTCGGAATGGGGCGCCCTAGCGTTGAGAGGTCTAGGATTTCGGATCGGATTGGATCGTGAGAACTTCGGGGCACCTTCCTTGACACCGATGCCCCCGCTTTCAGGAGGAAGTTGTTAGAACTGGCGTCCGACGAGTAGAGAGGAGCAGAGGCGCGGGGGGTGCTTTCTTTCGCTCGCATCAAGAGCCGTCCGTCCCAAAGCTCACACAACTTCACGATATGTGGAGTTTAGATGGGGTGCTTGGAAAAGGTTGGGCTTGAGAGCATCGGCATGGAACATAATTGCGACTCCAATGACGGTTTAGGGTTTAGGGTTCAGCAATTCTGTTATGGGGCTTCCGATAATTGGGGCCCTCACGTCTCACACATACACGCCCCAATGATCCCTGCTTAATCCCTGTTGCAGCCGCCTCACAGGAACCCCCCTTTCCCAGACCCCCGGGAGGATCTGGAAAGTAGATCCCCTAATTTGGGGCCCTATACTACTAGGGTACTTTATAGGAACCCCCATTAAGGGATCTACTTTTTGCATCCTCCCGGGGGTCTGGGTTGTCGTGGCCTCTTACTGCCGACCCTCAATTAAACTTCAAGGAAAACTGCAGGGATGCTATTGAGGACTGTAAAATAGGGCCCGTAATAATTAAAAGAGGTTTTTGGGTCCCATTATACTATACTTAAAATAATGAACCCCCCGAAACAGCATTGGTAATATTCAGGCCCCTATATTACCCTCAGCAGTGTTCTCTTGCCTTTTCCAGCATGAGTGGCAAACAAAACGAAAGCTGCTGTATCATAGACTCACTGCCATGTTGTTGTTCCCACTTAGAATGGCTTGCCCGATGGCCCGCCGGGGTCCGTCTCTCTATCCAGCAGTCGCGAATTCGTGGTTGAATTCGTTGCTTGGGTTCTTGGTTCAGGGCCTTGAGGGCCAGAGGCTTTGGGTTCGAAACAGCTTCTAATCGGAACGTGCGGACCAAATAACCTCCACCTCCAGACGAAACTGTGTCGAAACACCATGCAGGAACGTGAAACGCTGCGGAAGGAGACTCACGCCCCCGCAGCTTTAACTCGCATGATGTCAACCATCACCAACCCACCTTTGACAGATACTAGTCTGTACGAGCTCCAGATGCCTCTGCATCATTCAATCATTCCCTAGGTCCCACGGCCCTAAAAAAGACCTGGAAACTGCAAGACCTAAACCCTTCAAATCCCAAAGTCTGCAGCTCGTTTCAGGCCTAAACCCTAAACCCTAAACCCTTTTAAGGGGATCCTCATGCACTGTGACTGCTTCATGTGGAGCTCCACAGACATCAGGCAGGGCATGATAAATGACCACGGTTTAGGGTTTAGGGTTTCTCACTGAATGAGTGCCAGCACATACGGCCTGCTCAGCTCCCTTGAGCAAAGCCAACGCGCCAGGAGGCGTACAAAGCTGCCATTTCCACGAAGAGCCTCACCAGGGAGCGTTACAGGTACTTGTGGGGGCTCTGGGTAACCTGCTAGGCTCAGAGTGGGCAGTGGAACCAACACAAAGCTCACAGATCCGGCCCTTTTGTCTCAGGTCTTTCGAGGGCATCCGCCGGAGATCTGTCACCAACCAATCGGCGCCACTCCGCAAACTCGCTCCTTGGGCAAGTCGGTGTGAAACGTAGCAGCCTGCTAGGCCATGCGCCGAAGATTTGTCGCCGACCAATCGGCGCCACTCCAGCAAACGTATTCTTTTGGGCAAGTCGATGTGAAACGTAGCAGCCTGCTAAGCCGACGCCACCCATTTAGGATTCTCCACACACTGTCAGCTGCTCCGCTTCGGGAGTTACTCGGACTGTGCGTGCTGTGGCCCACTTGCTAGAATTCGGCCCGGAGCGATATCCGTGCGTTCAATCTGACTCAGAGGAGTCAGAAGAGTCGGACAAACCGAAACGATGTTCCACCGGTGTTCTTTCCTTGGGCATCTTGGGTCGGTAGCTTCCTTCAAGCTTCAGTTCCTGAGAATGTACCTTCTTCTCTTTCATTGCATGAGGTACTATGTAGCAGTACCATGCTGGGATGACAGCGATCGACAATATGCCACCCACAATCGCAATGAAGACTTGAGCTATGACGCTATGTCCTCCATCAAAGTGGTGTTCCCACCAGGTGTTCTCGAACAAGATGGTGAGAGCCCTCTCGTTCAGCATCGTCTCATAAGACGTGTCAAAAGCCTTTTCCCAACAAATGCCCATGAGCATGCCGAAAGCCATCACCGCTTTCCGCATGCTCTTGGCCAAGCTCTTCGACTCCGATGCGGACTCTTCGTTCCCGCTCTCTGCGTCCCGCTCCGCATCGTCTTCGGGTGCAAAGAAACGACACCTGTTCTTGATCCAATCTGCAAGCTTGGTGAAGGTAAACAAGCCGGTCAGCGCAAGCGCTGACATGGCCAAGGCGTTCGCGATCTGTGTGCGGTTGGCGGCTTGCTCCGGATGCATGGCTCGATCTGAACATTCATGTTCACGCCCATTGCAGCTGTCGTGCATATAGTGGTTCAAGTACCAATTCATCCGGTTCTCTATGCCGCCGTAGAGGCCGATGACTCCAGCACGCTGCGCGCACCACGCGGCCGTGACGGGCAAAGTTCGGAAGCCTGAGGAGTTTTGCAGCATGGCTTAGTTAAGGTGCTTGGAGGGTCATGGGACTTAGTAACCAGGGTTCTCCTTAGGGTAACTTTGCATATAAATACTTATGTCGCCACTTAGCGTACTTACAACCCTACTTACCAAACTCCATGATCCTCCAAGTAGACCCTAAACCCTAAACCCTATAGATCCCAGTATAAGGAACCCTTTGGATCCCATTAAGGAACCCTTATGGATCCCCTAAACTTACTTGACACCCCAAGCCGAGGCGGAAGGTCTTGCGTCTACGATCGTCTACTTGGAGGGTCGGGGGACTTAGTAACTAGTAATTTTGGGAAATTATAAGTACCATAACCCCAATTAGTGTCCCTTTTAGAATACTTATAAGTCTACTTACTACCTACTTACGAAGTCCCTAAACCCTAAACCCCATACTACCCTTATATAGCCCTGTAAAGGAATCCTTAGAGTTCCCTTTAAAGGAGCCCTTACTAAGTCCCCCGACCCGCCAAGTACTCGCCGGGCCTCGGCCTCCGCGTGGTCCAGGATCGCCCGCTGCGCTCGGAGGGACCAAAGGATGGAGCCCAGCATCCTGGGGTACCCCTTAATTAAGGAATATTCCTTAAATCATGTAAGGGATCCTACTATAATTTACGGTATATTCCCTCATTGAGGGGTTTTGGAGTCTCTGGGTAGGGTTTGGGGTTTGGGGTTTAGGGGTTTAGGGGTTTAGGGGTTTGGGGTTTAGGGTTTAAGGTTTAGGGTTTAAGGGGTTCAGGGGTTTAGGGTGTAGGGTTTAAGGTTTAGGGTTTAGGGGTTAGGGGTTTAGGGGTTTAGGGGTTTAGGGGTTTAGGGGCTTAGGGGCTTAGGGTTTAGGGTTTAGGGGTTTTGGGGTTTAGGGGTTTTGGGGTTTTGGGGTTTAGGGGTTTAGGGGTTTAGGGTTTAGGGTTTAGGGGTTTAGGGGTTTAGGGGTTTAGGGGTTTGGGGTACCCCATAATTAAGGAATATTCCTTAAATCATGTAAGGGATCCTACTATAATTTAAGGTATATTCCCTCATTGAGGGGTTTTGGAGTCTCTGGGTAGGGTTTGGGGTTTAGGGGTTTAGGGGTTTAGGGGTTTAGGGGGTTTAGGGTTTAGGGTTTTAGGGTTTAGGGGTTTAAGGGTTTAGGGTTTAGGGGTTTAAGGGTTTAGGGGGGCTTAGGGGCTTAGGGTTTAGGGTTAGGGGTTGGGTTTAAGGGTTTAGGGGTTTAGGGGTTAGGGGTTTAGGGTTTAGGGTTTAGGTTTAGGGTTTAGGGGTTTAGGGGTTTAGGGGTTTAGGGGTTTACGGGTTAGGGTTTAGGGGTTTAGGGGTTTAGGGTTCAGGGTTTAGGGGTTTAGGGGTTTAGGGTTTAGGGTTTAGGGTTCAGGGATTTAGGGGTTTGGGGTTTAGGGGTTTAGGGGTTTAGGGGTTTAGGGTTTAGGGGTTTAGGGGTTTAGGGGTTAGGGGTTTAGGGGTTTAGGGGTTTAGGGGTTAGGGGTTTAGGGGTTAGGGGTTTTGGGGGTTTAGGGGTTTGGGGGTTTAGGGGTTTAGGGTTTAGGGGTGTAGGGGTTTAGGGCTAGGGCTTGAGGACACGGAAAAGGATGGCGAGTGAGTGAATGAGTGAGTGAGCGAGAAAGAGGGAGAGGGAGAGAGAGCGAGAGCGAGCAAGCGAGTGAGGCATCGACGGAAAAAAGAACGTCATGCAACGTAAGAACTCCTGCAGTTAACGAAAAAATCTGGCATTGCTCGTCCAAGCATCAGTCCAAAGGCAAGAAGGGAAAGCCACAAAACGCAGGAGTCGATGTGAGTCCCAAACTCACCATGCATGATGGGCATGAATCGCCCTGCCTCGCATTCAATGCTGGGTTCCTCATCACACTCATGAACTTTCGAGTGGTAGCACGGGTCGCATTCGGTGCTCATGTGGTAGCACACAGCCTGCACCAGCAGAAAGGACACGGTAATAGCACAGGCCTCCGTTAAGGCGTCCCCGGCTTGATGGGCTTGCATGCGCTTGTGATCCTGGCCACAGCACCTCGCCAAGAGGCGGCTGATGAGCCTCATGACCAGGAAAAAGACCAAGGCAAGCAGAGGCAGAAGCCAAACCCAGATTGGGATGGAGATCCAAGGCGGCCCCTTCGTCTGCTGCAGAAGGCCGAAATACAAGACGGCCAGGAAGGCACAAATGTGGCCACCCATGGTGCTCCAGGCAAACAACCGTTGATGCTGATGTTCATCGATGGAGAGAAGCCGGCAGTAGAGGAGCAGTGGTGCGAGACAGGTGAACCCCAAAACCAGGCCAAGAAACCACCAGCTTTGCTGTGGAGCTTCCCTCTGCTCCTCTGGGAGAACCAACCTGATCAACCGATACAAGGCAAAGTCAATGCCAGAGGCGCAGAAGATCGAGATGGTCGTGTTCACCAAGGCCCAGGCCTCTTTGAGACGTAGGCTTTATTTCGGGGGGCTTGGGACTCAGGATTTTAGGGGTCTAGGATTTTGTTTGCGGGTTGAGAGTTCAAGGCCCTGACCTCCTTCCTGATATCCTTGTTGTTCCAGTGCAGGAGGCAGACTAAGAAGCCGGAGAACACCACGAAGGCGATCAACAGCGAGGCGCAGGTCCAGGTCACGTCGTCCAACTCCTTCGGAGCTTCGGGTGACTCTTGCAGCGCCTGCTGACCCGAGGCCATCACGGCCAAGGCCAGCAGAAGAGCTCGCGCCATGGCTGAGAGTCCTGTAAGGCTGCTCATAGATTCTGTCGGCTGTATGACGGACCAGCCCCAGCCCTACGGCGGGTTTGGCGGCCGCCTTCCCAGCCTCCCTGAGCCGTTGGCCGCGGAACGTACTGTGAAAACAAGTATGACATGAAAGCTACGATGCACATGAATGTTTGTACGTGTGTGTGTGTGTGTTTAGGGCAAGGCAAGTGGCAAGTGGAGACTACCAGGCAGCGAGAAAAGCGCGTGTAGGGTAGGGTTTTAGGGAGCGTGGCTATAGTAGTGGCAAATTCTTCACGAACCACCGGAAAGGAGCAAAGAAACTCCTGTGCGGCTTTAATTTTAAAGTCTGCAATCTACTCCGGAAGTTAGTAAACAGCTGATGTTCATAAACCTTGGCGAAAACAATTGTATGAGGATATGCTGAAAGGCCAAGCTAAACCCCTCCCTAACTCCAAACCCGAACCATACACCTACGCTAAGTCCACAAAAAGGCATCACTTGACCTTCTCCAGGCCTCTCCCACCCCTTGCCACAGCATCTGAAGGCCATCATCGCTGCAGCCAACAGAAGGTCCAAGACTCTGGGCGTTCAGGATTTGTGGGTTTGGGGCTTAAGGGGACTGGGCCTAACACATTCTGCTGTTTATGGTTTCTTGGTGATTCGAAGTTCATGTCCAAAACGGCATTTCTTCCCTATGAGGAGCTTATGATGTTACCCGAATCAACACCCTAAAGAGCCACGACAAGAGAAGACAATGCAACAGTGATCACGGTTCATTCCAACAACATGAGACCAACTCACTGAAAGCAGCTGCCACTCTTCAGTTGGCTTTCACTGTTCCATCTGATAAAATTGGCTTTACCATTCAGGACCTAGGCCTTCAAGCAAAACTTTCCCAACTCCTCGTTTGCATTCTGAAAGTGCTTGGTGGATGCACGTGGCAAAAAGAACAACACTCCTCCCCTTCCTGAGCAAAGTTGCAATGGCGCTTTTTCGTCAAAGCCATTTTTCTGGCAATCTACAATGCTGAAACGAAAGAAGCCGTTCAAGAATCTCCGACCGGCGGACTGAGTCAGCGTAAAATCGTTCAGAATCCGATCTACAAGCTTCTGGCTTTCTCCGCGCACAAGCACTCATGCCCAAACCTTGATTGCCCTGCAAGCCACAAAAAGAGCAGCAGCGAGACCGACACAGCAGCACCAAGCCATGCGGCACGAGCCTGATTCCCAACCGGCAGCCCCACAGCACATCCGTGTTGGCGAACGGGACTTATTGCAAAATGGACAGAACTGGGTTCAACCTAGATTCCATCCAGATAACTCAAGGTTTGATCTTGGTTTGACCAAGATTCGATTGGCTGTCGCAAACCTGGGTCCGGTACAACCTGCGTTCTCCGGCCCCTTTCGAAAATTTTTCTTGCCGTTCTCAAGCCCTTCAAGCCCTCTCTCAAGTCCGCTTCAAAGCCGGATTTATCGGAAAATTTGCCATGGAAAAACCACACAGCTTTGCTTCCAGGTGGGTTTCGGATGTTCGCATTGGTCCGGAGCATCGTCAGGTTGGCGTTGGCATCTCTCTTGAGAAACATTCCTGCTGTGCGTACGCATCTCTGTCTTTCGGATTGGAATTGTTCGTCTGTGTATTTTGTCCGAATGTGGCCTTAGAACACACACTTGTGGCTAACCTCAAACTGCATGTGTGGCTCTGCTGACCATTTTGTTTTTTGGCTTGGGCGGGCTTCCGTGGCAGCGGCTGCTGCGCTCAGTCCCTAAAGAAACTACCGATCGAATAAACAAGAAAACAGTGGTGAAACAGAAAGCGCCGAAGGAAAATGTGCTGCGGCTTGTAGACTTGGTCGACAATAGCCGTTCAGCGAACTACCGGGCTACGGCATCCTCAGCAGCCGTTCAGGAGCAACAGTGGGTTCTAATCCCGTCGGACAATGGACTGCCCGCACTGAGCCGTTCCATTCCGGCTGCGCACACTAAAGTCGAAAAATCCACTGGGGCCCCGGGGAACCTCCTCCATCGTTCACTGGGGCGGCACTCGGGGAGTCCTCCTCTTCTCGAGTCGTCGGCGGAAGTTCGGCGACCTTGCTGAAGCCGCTGTCGAGTTCATCTGGGGAGAAGGCGGCCTTCGCTGTGCCTACCTGGCTGAAGCTCTGGAGTGCAGGTATCTCAGTATTGTGCCCTTTGGGCATGAGGTCCCAGGAACCGAGGCTGGAGTCCGATCAGATTTCCTATCACCCATCCAATAGCCACTCCTGGTAGCATCGGGAGCGAAGGCACCCGTGCGAATCCGTAGTAGCAATTCGTCAAACTGCCTGAGAGGCCCGCTCAGAGCATCCCTGGAGTAGGCCAGTGTGCTCAAGGCCCCAGTCGAGTGATGTGTATGAAAGAAGAGTTTGTGGCTCTCCATAAAGTCCATACTTGGAGAGCCAGGCTAAAGGTGTGTGTTTGAGGGAGTGAGTTGTCACTCTTTCCCTAGAGCGGTCTCTCTTCTCAGAAGCTGAGTGATCCACTCGGAGGCCTGGTCAGATTCCACAATACGTTTTAACCAATTGCCGTCCGGGCCGACCGCCGGGAGTAGCGGTCCCAGTGGGCTCTGACTAAGATCCCTGCCGAGCTCTGCCGCCACCGATTTCCATTCCACTCCCCAAACCACATCAGGGTGTACCCCGTGAACAGGTGCAACTAGAGGCATGAACAATGTCTGTTTCTTCTTCTTGTTGGTTTGCTTGACGTCCTTGGCTCGCATAGATCTGAAACAAGAAGACACCCGCCGCGAACCTGTCGAGTAGGTGCAGCGACACATCCGCCAGGCATTCCTCCAAGAAGCGTACTTCGAGCACGGTAAGGTCGCGTGCCTGGTTGGCGGGGCCGTGTTCACCCGCCATGCGATCCGCCAGACCCTGCACCCTGGGAGAAAGGCTGGCCTGTACTGAAGGTCTGGCTTGCACGAACCGCACGAAGGTCAAGGCTTGTACGAAACCCTGAGCGGCCAGCTTCCCCTTGGTCCCCGCGGAGATGTGCTGGCAGAAGCCGTACACAGACACTTCCGAAGGAGACGACGGTTCCTCTGGCTGCTGCTCATCCAAGAGATCCTCCGATCTGAGCCACTTGAGAAAACGTGTGAAGGCAGCTGCCCGTTTCTCCCCTGTGTGCGGGGATGTTCCATAGTCACTGAACTCTTTCGAGAGGGCCGTGGAGGGGGAAGCCTCAAACAAAACTTGCCATTTGGTGATGGCCTTTGCCCACAAAGCAGTTGCTGCCTGCTCAAAAATGAGGTCGCTCTTTTTGTGGCGAATCACCTTAGAGCAAATCTCAAGGCTGTGGTTCCCGGCTTCAGCAAGTATTTTCTGACAAGGAGAATGCAGTGTCTTTGTCAGGTCGCCAGGCTGAGTGGCAAGACTTGGAAGTGCAAAGTTCAAGTCAAAAGTGCCAGAGACGATGCGCGTCGGGCAGAGCAAATGCCTATTGCGACTGCATGGTGTTGGGTGGGAAGAAGCTACAGGCTCCAAAAAAGGAAAAAAGAAAAGAAAAGAGGCAAAGGCACAACATGTTTCCGTGGATGTACATCCCGGAGAGCGTTAGGGGGCAGCGCCGCAGAAGGAGAAGATCATCGAGCAGCAGCTCCGCGTCCAAGACGCCGAACTCGCCGTTCAAGGCGTGACGATCGGGTCAAGACGCCGCGAGAGGAGCGGCTGGAGCTCAAGCAGCCGCATCTCCCCACGTGGAAAAAGAAAGCGAGCTCGAGAGAGCTTCTGTTCGAGCATCCCTGCGCCGCTGCTGCGCCATGCATGGGTGCAGATTCCTGCCCCACCTGGGCAGCGGGCTCCAATCATGGACCAGCTCCAGAGTCGGTGCCCTACTGGGGAGACAAGGCCGCCAAGCAGTCTGGAGAGACAAGAACGCAGGATTACGGCAAGCAATCTTGGTCAGGGCAGCGCCAGTGGAACAAGTGAATCCGGAAACCCAAGAGAAGACAGAAGGACTGGCCACCAAGCGGGCGAGCCGTCTGGATCCACTGCCCGCCACCGCCGCCTCCACCACTGACAGCGGAGAAAGAGGATCCAAGTAGACTTCGGTCGATACGACATACGTGAAGCGACTCCGGGGAGGAAATGGCCGCGGCCTTCAAAAAGGTTGCTCAGGAGGAGGACTTCCACCAACAAGGCATTGTGGCCATTGAAACTGCCTTGCAGCTCACTCGGCAGAGAAATAGTCCGCCAGGGGCTCCTACGTGCTTGGTGGAAGCAGAACGGCCGTCCTTTGGAAGGCAGCTCTGGCGGTTTGGACTTGCCTCAAGGTTCCTGGTCAGAGGGTCGCATCCGAACGCGGCTCATGGGTCCTCGTACTGGAATCTCCAAAACGGAGAGATGTGTTCACGAGATTTTGTGGAAGTGGAAGGAGAGTTCCCCTCCTGCGGCTTTTCAAACCGTTTTTTTTTGCGTGGTTGGGTCTTGGTGACAGCGGCTGCGCTCGGTCCCTGTAAGAAGCAAGAAAGCAAGAACCCAAAAGCAATCGACTGTACAAAGTGAAACAAAGTAGCTGCGACGTACAGACTTGGCCGGAAGTCGTTCAGCTTTGATTATTTGCATTCGAAAGCAGCAACTGCCACTCACAAGCCCCGCTTCCCGCTATCCAAGCCTAGGACTTGGCAAGCGTTGCCAAACGATCAGGAAAGTGTTTCCAGACGCGAACGACTTCGACCAGACATCAACCCATGCTTCAACGGAGCAAGCAAACGAACAAGTGTGAGCGACCATCGTAGACGGCTTTTTTTTGGCTTGAGTGGGCCTCGTTGGCTGCGGCTGCAGCTCTCGGCCCCTACAAACAAACAAACCGAACAAGCAAACGAAAACAGCGGTGAAACAGTTGTAGAGGGCAACCTACGCGAAGCTGCGGTGCCCAGGCTTTGCATGGTTGACCGTTCAGCTTGCGTCAGCGAGTCCCGTCGGACAACGGACAACCCCGCGGTTCTGTCACAGCCACAAGTCCAAAAGCGGCAAAAACGGGTTTGAACAGACGACG